GTATGTGTGTGCTGTATCATATCGACATGCCGCATTCCATTTCGAAAATACTCGTAGTACTGCAAACGAAGACTACAGTTGCTTGATATGCAATTATACGCTAAATCGACAGATGCTGTAAAATATATGGAACACTTAATGAGCTAAAAAAGGTTATTGGGGGCACAATATGAGGCATGACAACGCACTTTAATGTCGAAACATTGACGAAATGTCAAAGTAACGTAAAAACCGGAAGTCATGTGAGATGATAATCCACTGGAGCACAAAATCGTCAGTGATCATCGAGTTCATATTTGGGAAACGACTAGAACGAACGGATCGGCTTAGTTGATGTCGGATATTTACGATAAACTGAGCCGATGATGCGACGTTTCTCAACACTCACTTTGGGTTTTCGTGGTTGAACGGCGAGTTGAACGACGAGCTGTCCACCAGTTTGTCTTTCCATGTTTTGTAGTAGTTGTACGATGTCTCAACTTGTTGTCCATCGGCCGTTTCCACTGTCCTGGGAAGATTGAAAAAATGTATCAAAACATGGCAGGACTATCTGCTCATCAGTCGCATAAAATCGACCTCACTTGATTGAAGCTAACAAAAATGTGAATACGAAAAAAAACAACCAAATGTTTTTAAATATGCACTGCTTTTCCCTGATACTGCCCTAACAATCCACAGAAGATTATGGAGTATGGAATAGCTTCCAGCTGTCTGTGAACCAGCTCCACCCACCAGGCCTGCTTTGATGCCTTTGATGCCTCTGAAGCCCCTGCCTAGCTGACCCACCGGCTGTTCCACTCCTCCACCCACTACGGCTGCTCTGACGCCTCTGACCCACCTGCTGCTCTGTTCTTCCACCCACTGGTACATCTGGACGCGCCGCTTCAGCTTGACGGCGGCCACGGCCACGCCGTAGCGCGGCTCGGTCAGCGGCTGCGGCACCTCCAGCTGCGCCGTGAAGTGCACCAGGCGGCCGTCGTTCTCCGGCAGCGGCCGCTGCGGCGCGCTCAGCGGCACAGCGCTGCTCAGACCCTCCGACAGCGCCTTGGCGCGCTCCACCGCCCGACCCTGGCGTCAGAGCCAGGTCAGAGGTCAGGAGTCTAATGAATTTTAAGTACCACACCCAAAATACCAGAATGTTAAGCTATGCACAACAAAATAATACTATAACACTAAACACAGTCAACAAAAATTTAGATGTTCAGAAAAAGTAAGAGGCTATCAGACATCACATGGAATGATTTAGCATCTCCACATGAAAAAAATATCAATTTATCCTCTCCATGACCTTCATAGGTATCATTTTTCACTGGATAAGATATCTAAAAATGTATCTTCAAAATCAATTCGATGAAGTTAACATAAAAGTATTAGCAATATTTTGAATTCCTTAGGACAGGAATGTGTTGCAAATACACTGAGTCAGTTACCTCATTCCAAAATTGCAGTCCAATACCACCAAAAAAGATAGTTATGCCAACAAGGGATAGCACCATGCTAGCCTTGATGGATTCCCAGAATGATGGCGGCTGTCTGGCCTGAGTCCTGGAGTGTAGCAGTGGCTCAGTATCATCCCCAGCAGCCCCAGTTTGCCTCTGTCGTAGCCCATCCTCGTCCATCCTGAAATAAAGATCAAGATAAGTGGTAAGGTTTCATCCTGTAACAACTCCACCAATATAAAATAGGTTTCTCACATAGAAATGTAGTCATTAGTTATCAGAAACTATGTGTGATAGATAACTGAATAAGTCTGCACAAAGTCAGTAGGCGGAACTATGGTCAAGCGTACCCATTTTCGGGAACGCATTTTCGTTCCCATGTTTGGGAACGATAAACCCAAATATGGGAACGCCATGTAGGCATTATTTAAAACAAGAAAAAGAACCGTTAAATGACGTCCAAAAAATATAAAACGATCGTGAACCGCCTGATCGTTGTCTCAATATTGTTGGGAAAGAGTTTGATATTGTAAGGCCCATCGTAGTTTCAAATCGTTCCCCTATTTCTAAAGCAGTCCATCATCCGGGCCGCGAGCCCAAATTTGGGAACGCTCTCGTACACTGGCGCTGCAAGCGTTCCTTATTATGGGAACGGCGTACCCAAAATTGGGAACGATTTCACCGACGCCTTTCAGGGGCTCTTTTCATTAACAAGCATCACGTCCAACGCCGCAAATTATTGGTAACGCAACAATCATCAGATGACCTTTCCGGCAAGACCGTTGCATGTTTCGCCCGGTCTTCTGCGCTTTTATTCCCGTCGATCTCGCAGCGGGCACGCCCCCCTCTGCAGGATTACGTAATCCACAACGCTCAGCGATGTTCAACAAGGTCTTCCATACCTATATCCACCGTCCGCGCCGAGGGTGGAGACATGTCAAGCACCTGTCTGCTAATCACCGAGAGTTGACGAGCACAAGAAGTATCCAAAAATGGGAACGCTGAATATGTTACACCCTCAAAACACCTAGTCCCAATGAAAATCTAGTTTTTTCCTTTCTTAATGAGTGTAAGTGGCAAAAGGCCTGGTAGGATGGGCACGAGGAATGATCGAAATCAGCATAAAAATTATAAATAAGCCACACAGAGCGACCTATATCAGAGAAATTCCCCCCAAACGATCATGCTTAGAAACGCCGAAGACAAAAACCACGCTCATGACGCTGCTTATAAAACAACGCTAAACAGCTAGCATCCAAATAAAATATGTCTTTCAGGGCTGATAAAATACAGCTGAATGATTTTAAACCACTGAAACTGAGTTTACAACAGTAGTTCGGTAAAATCACTGACGTTCCACGCGGTCGATCGCCCCGACACCAAAAGTCAACAATATTACCTCGGGACTGTCCGCGTGTTCGCTTGCATATGTCAGCATCTGGTGTCGCTAGAATGAAACTTCATAACCAGGCGAAAATTATTATACTTGACCTCAAAATGTAAAAAATGCTTCATTTTCCTTAAAATTGCATGTTAAATGTCGTATAACCCATATTTCCACCATTCTGTCATTTTTAAAAAATCATTAAAAATATCATTCCACGGTCAATTTCCTTGTTCCACGGTCAGATTAAAGATAACTTTATGGAGATTTAGTAGATACTTAAATCAGCGTGCACTTTTTTGAGACGTGATGCACTTTTGAGTTTTAGTGGGCGAACGGCCGAAAAATTGCCTTCCGTTCTCATAAATGGGAACGCCCGTTCCCATATTTGGGAACTCCGTTCCCAAAAATGGGAACGTTCCTATATTTGGGTACTCATGACCATAGTTCCGCCTACTGAAGTCACTGGGATATCCTATAGCACGTAATGCATGATTCTTTCATGTATCTCACCCAGCTGAAAAAAAAAATATTTCCCTCACAAAGAATAATGTTTTAAATAATGCAGCAGTAGGTATAAAAAAACTCAAGGAGCATTTCAAATCTGTTGTTGTTAGTAGGTACCAACCTCACCTATCAGCAATGTACGTATAACTCAAGACAAGTAGGTACCTATTGATCAAGTTTGAAAGTCTCTGCATTGCCAATTGGCATGCTCCCACCACACATCATCTAATAATGCCTTTCTAGGTCTGTCATTGGAAAAAAATGTAGAATAATACTCAAGCTTGCTAAGCAGCTTGAAACCATTGCCATGCCTAAATCAAACCTTTGCGAGGGGATAAATTGGATTATTTTCACATGAATGTAAGCTGAACCATACACATTACAGCCTACTTAATGGCTGTTACATAATAATGAAACGTGCATAGGCACGTACATACCTGGTACATACCAGTACATACCTGTTTCTCGGCAAAATCAAAATACCTATCCCAGAAAGCGTGCCAAAGGTACGGCCCTTGGACCGGACAAGGCAACGTGATCTCCGGTTATCTTCCAGTACAGTGCTTCCCTAGATCATGGTTCACTATTCAAGAGCTTCAAGAGTAATCTGAGATCAACACTCCTGTCTCCTGCCCGTTTTGGCCTAGGTATTTGAATAAATCCAATGAAATCAATGAAATACGACCTATGATGTTATTTTCCAGTCTGATGAAAATAAACGTAAAGTCGCAACTGCGCATGATATGTAGCAAATAGAGCTGCCATATGAAGGAATGAGCAGAGGAATATACCAAAATACCTCCGCGAGGATAGCTTCAACATGCACTGGGTGGTTCTGCATCTCGTTGACTGCCCGCGGTCGGCCTCTGCAGTATGGCTTCCACGTGCACCTCGCCAACTCGGAAAGACTGAGTTCTTGCATCGGCTCATATCATGCAGACATATAAGAATAGCTGCTGGCTGCTGTTATATCATTTTTACCGTTATTACACATTATTACGGCTCAAGCTACTTCATAGGCGACGGAACGTACGGGACGGAACACCGTGCCCCCCGTTGATTTTGCCATTTTAACATTAGCCATATGGGCGTTGCATGGAAAGAATGGGACCAAAAGTTGGCAGTGCCCACCCATACTAAAGGTTAACACCCTTTTAAAGGTGTTCCGCCGCTACTGAGCTACTTCCTCAGCCTCTGCTAATACATAGACGTTTAATATTTCCCTTTGGCTATTTCACACTTCTCTATGCCTCGGACCGAAATCGGGGGGGGGGGGGAGAGACCCGCCAAGAACGCGTGTGTTTAATGAAGAGACGCATTGGCCAGTGGCTACCCCTCTTAGGCTGGATACACTGTGCGAGCCCCCCCCCCCCCCTCCGTTGTTTATATCTAAAATAGTTTACCATTGCCAATGTTTGGAAGTCCTTGTGGTTCTGTGGTTGGGTTGGTGTTGGGTCTTACTTCAGCCACCACATGTGCGTTGAACATCCGATTTCTACTCTTTCGTTTCATTTTGCATTGTGAGTCCAAAGGAGAAAGTATCCAATTTCGCCAATAACAGATATTCAGCAGGGTAAATATTATCATTTTGACTAAAAGCTACCCCTGTCCATAGTGCCGCACGCACACCACCAGGCACCAACCCCAGTCCAATAGTAAAACACAGTTCGTTCGGTACCACAGACGGTATATTATTTCACATTGCGTCAGTATCGTCGCATTAAGACACTCTCCAACGCCCCACCCTTTAGGCCCTCATCGGTGCAGGGCCGGCCCCGCCGCCGCTGGCGGGCGAGGCTGGCCCGGTGCTCACAGTGTGAACCGCGCCTACAGCTCCTTGTCGAACATGTACTCGGCCAGGTTCGGCTGCGAGACGAGCATCCTGCCCAGCTTGGCGATGTGTCCGGAGAACTCGCGACTGCCCTTGTGCTGTTCGTCCAGCATCTCTGCCGTCAGCCAGTCGGCCGCCTGCGAACAGAGACGAGAGCGCTAATGAGGAGACATCGCTAGCCCAGAACGGACCAAGGTGGTAAGGCATCGGTAGTTTGTTTTGTTAGAGACAAGCTATGTTTGTTCCGTGTTTTACTACTCGCCTCTAGCAATACCTACAAGAAACAGAACAACTAACAAGCTCAGTGGTGGATCGGCGCAAAAGATAAACTTAAATTAAAGCGCCTCTCCAAAATGAAAACAAAACTGACAGTAATCGCGCAACTGGGGTCCGTCAGTACCGACCCCGCCGAGCAATCCCCTGGACTGGTAGGGCTCCCCGGACGCCGGGCGGCCCCAGCCCGGTCAGCTGGTGGTAGGGGTTGATGTGGTGTGTCAGTATGTTTCGCTTTATGCTGTTCTGTGTTGGCCGTTAACGCATGACGTTGGACTGTGCGGACCACCGACGGTGCGCCGCAGCGGCAGAGACCGTCCCCGTGGGGAACGTCCCAATGGAACAGCCAGACCTGCCGCTCAAACGGTCACCCCACAGAGGGAGTGGTCTTGGTGGGGGCCTGCCCTCAACATTGGTTATCTGGTGATGTTGACCGCCAGCCCAGAAAAGGAACCGTGAGGGGAATGCAGATGGGTTTGTCCTGAGAATGGCGAGGATGGATGGAAAAGAGGACCGAGGTGATAAGGCGCATCCAGCGTCTTATATCGGTCGTCATCTGCTGGTCTGACTGTAGTTTTCAGTAGCTTCAAACACCTAAATCACATCACATCCTCCCAACACGCCGTACTCCGTCCCTAGCCATCGATAGTCAGTACACCTGACGGTTAGGCTGTGCCGCACGACACCGATGTGCTGCGGGCTAGCCTATCTTTACACTTCTTAGACGTGAGAGGAGGGCGTGACAACGTAACCACAATCGCGATACTTGATTCTAATGATTCTTGTGGTACGTAACCACAATCGCGATACGAGATAGCTATAGCATGACATGTCATGGACATCAGACATCTACGTAATTGGTCGATGCCTCATCAGGGTGGTAGTAAAGAATGGCAGGCATTGGTGTTTTCATTTGTACGTTTTTGCGGCTATTTAATGACGCGCCGAGCGATAGAGGCATCATTTAAAAATGAACGAAATACTTAAGACATTATTGTAGTACCATTACCCTAAGCCAGCACCATTACCTTACATTAGAACCATTGGGTACAGGCATGTATTCCCAATCACATTCACATGCCGCTTACCATGTCATAGAGTTCAGAGTTCAATGATACATCTATTATTAAAACAAATTTATTCCCACACGAAAAAAAAAAACGAGACACAGACGACACGACTGGTCGGTGTACTCACATGCCTATCCCGCTCGCTCATGGGAAGTGGGGATGGGGAGGGGGGTATAGAGACGGCTGGTTGGTATATACTCACGTGCCAGTCGCGCTCCCAGGCAGAGGATGGGGGAGAGTTAAAAGATACACGACTGATGGGTGTGGGTACTCACGTGCCAGTCGCGCTCGCAGGCGTTGATCATGTCGGACACGTGGCGCGTGACGGCCTTCTCGATGGCGAGCGCGTCCGTCAGACCCTCCAAGACGTTGGTCCAGCTGTACTTCAGCGGGGCCTGGGGGACGGGAGGCGGCAGGCGTTAGACGGCAGGGAACACCAACCAGCTTCCTCACAGAGTAGACTTATCGTGTCTCCGATTAAGAAATATCTGCTTCACCATAGTTGAACTGCTGTGGTAGCTGGTTTTACTATGTGACTACCTATGTATTAACACGACTGCAGCCGACGTGTACACCGCGGGGACGTACGTAGGAGGCCTGCAGGTAGCTGGTGTCGCGGTCTCCGCGCATGGACAGGTAGTCGGCCAGCTTGATGGCGTGCTCGCGCTCCTCCTTGGCGTGGTCGAAGAAGATTTTGGACACGCCCGGCCGGTTCACATTGTCCTGCGCAAAGTGGGCGCCCTGCAACAGCACACACAGCGCTGTAAGCACGGGGCGCCCTGCAGCAGCACACACACAATACTTCACACACAGCCTGCTGTTATCACGGCGAGAAATCAGTCGCACATGCACGTAATATATTGCAACCAATGATCGAACGTTTAATTTCTAACGTCGTTTAATTTCTCAGACTCACTGATACGGGTCAGGTCACGTAAAATGTCAAATTTCTGTCCGCTGTCGAGGATCAATTTAGAGGTCGAGTCAGTGTTCAGGCCAGAAGCCAGGTCAATGTCAGGTAAGGTCAGAAGTTCCATCTGCGTTAAGGTCAAATGTGGTCACATGTCAGGTCGAAGGTCAGGTCCGGGTCCGCTCTGGGCCGGCTCCGGGCACTCACGGCAGCCAGGTAGGTGAAGGAGGCCTCCAGCTCGCGGCTGATCTGGTTCCGGATGGCCGTGGCGCAGCCCTCGTCGTAGTTGAAGTTCTTGGCGCAGGGCTGACCCTCACCTAGGCGCAGACAGGCCGTCAGTGTCACGCCATGATGAACGAAAGGCGAGCTGGTCAGTCGTGTTTATCACTAATAAACATCCATGTAAGCCAGGCAGCAGCACAAACGTTATTGTTTCCGTGTTAAAGCAAAAGCACTTAAATCAAAAGGCAGAAACAAACGCGGCGGCGGCCGAGCGGTTGAACTCACACTTGTCCTGCGGGTCGTTGTAGTTGACCTGCAGGGTGGCCTGGGCCGCGGCCGTAAACGCCAGCACAATCAGCAGCCTCTTCATGGTGAGCTGGAGGGAGGTGGGTCGCCGCAGAAGGTCCCCGCGAGAATAGCTGGCCGCCGCGCTCGAGTCGCCGCACTGGACGCTCTCTGAGCTGTGTTATCGTGGCGCGGCGGCGGCCGGCGGACCGTCGGAACACCCCGCACCCGCCGCCCCCTCCGGCTGCAGCCAATCGCGACACATCCGCTGGCAGGCGTCAGCGCCAGCCAAAGATCAAACAGGGGCGCCCACAGCACGGCCGACGATATTTTACAGATATCTGCCTTGTAGTTGAGTTAAAACAACTTCATTAATTTGAATTCATTGATATAAGACCTAATTTTGAAGCTTGCTATTCCAATTTCGAGCCGTATCGAGATGACAGCGGGCCGTCCTGGTCAGACCCCTGACCGTCTTGACCGTCGGGCCGGGAGCAAACAGAGCGGCCCTCCGAGACGGACCAATGGCGCGCCGTTGCCGGGCGGCCGCGGCCAGATAGAGCCGGCCGAGCCGCGTTAGTACGTCGGTCGAGCATTCCCAGAGCGGACTCTCGCCGCGCAGAGCAGCGCCCGCCGCACAGAGCAGAGCCCGGACTGCAGCCAGCCCCCGCCGGACATACAGAAGGTAACGGCCGCACTGCCAGTCGGCCCGCCGGACCCAGTGTGAAACTGGCCCGCGCCACCCGCACCGACACCGGTCACAGACCCTCCCTCGTGTCGGTGTTTCAGTGATTGATTTGTTTTAGTGATTCTCGTTCGATCCCTCTCGGCAAACCATGCGTAGGAGCCCACTTATGAGCGACTTATTTCTCGGGTGTCTGTTGGCCAAGACCATGGTTGGATTTCACCGTTCATTTGTTTACAGTCAAAGCCGCCACACATCGATACTGTTTTCTGATGATTATTTTCCTGGTGTCGTGTCTGATTTTTTTTACATGCGAACAAAATACGAAGTTAAACATAGCGGTACTGACGGATGCATTGGACGCTACAAGGGCAATCTTTAGTAACATTACGTTAAATTGACTTCTTTCGGCCCTTCTAATGTACTTTTTACACACGGTGCGATGTTATCGATTTATAGGCATAATACACAGTTTACAAATAGGCAGCGACCGACCGTCTCCTTTTATAAGTCGAATGTTGTCAATAGCTGTTCGTTCAAAAACAAGTGTCGGTATCACTCGTACTCAGTAGCGGCGGAATACCTTCGATTAAGGGGGGGGGGGACACTGCCGATTTTTGGTCCCATTCTTTCCATGCAGCGCCCATAGGGCTAATGTTAAAATGCCAAAATCAAAAGGGGGCACGGTGCCCCGATGCCCTTCCCGTTCCGCCGCCTATGCTCGTACTATAATATCCAATGCAGTTTGGTCGGTCGGCTATTACAGTCGGTTAAAAAACAACTAAAAAAAAAACATAATAGTGTGCAACATAGTGTGCTGATATCCAGTGTCCAGAAGGAGTAAGTTAAAAGATTACTCGATTTACTTTACAAATAAAAACGGTAGACCTTTGGAAAGGTTTACGAGATATCATCGACGGATAATAAGTGTTATTCACTTTAACATGTTCATTGTCCAAAAATTTACACTTTTGTCCAATGTACGGCCACAAGCCGTTCCCTGTCGGCCGAGTCGTTGCCCGGGACTGTTTCCAGCAGGTGATATAAATACGGTCACGGGGACACGTCCAGCTCCTATTTCTGTCAGTCTGAGACCGCTGTTCCCTGCCTGTCCCTCAGGTGCGACCCCACAGCTGTCAGGATGCGCGTGCTGAGCTGATCCCTCCCGGGTTCCCTGTCCCTCAGGTGCGACCCCACAGCTGTCAGGATGCGCGTGCTGCTGCTGACCCTGCTGGTCGGAGGCGCCCTGGCCTGCCAGAACCGCCTGGACACGGTGGTGCAGGAGGCCATCGGAGGCGCCACAGGTGGGTCCCATGGTGAAGGAATGTCAGGTCAGATGGCTGCCGGGGCTTGGACGTAGGTCAGAGAGTGATACACAGACAGACAAAGCTGTTTGTTAAACAAAGCTGAGAATTATTTATAGTTATACCTAACCCCAGACTGACTGAGTCTGTACAGTCTGTAGCCTGGACTTCTCCCTGCTGTGACCCCAATGACCAAAAAGTGCGCCGGGAGTGTCATGACCTGACCGTGCCCCGTGTCCGTGCAGACCTGTCCACATCCGTGCACGATGACTGCAACAGTGACGTGGGAACCTTCCTGGCCGCACACGCGCCCAACTACAAGCACGTGCTCAGGAAGTCCCTGTCGCTCTCCCTCAAGTACCTGGCCATTGTGAGTAGTTTGATCGGCATATGGCGCCAGTTGTGCCCATTGAGGTGAACTCAAGCGGCGCAATTGTTGGGTACAATATCGGCATCATTGTCTGTTTCAATCCCCCTTTGATTGTTTCTACCACCTCTTATCGCACATGATACGAATTTAGGCACACCATTTTGGACGAGAGAAATGTACAAATAGCTCTCGTGTTTTCCACGTTGATGGCGCTAACTTTCGTCGTCTTTGCCACCCAGTCCAGCCACTTCGGCAGCGACCTGAACCACCGCCTCGGCTTCAAGAAGCTGTTCCGTGAGGCCTCCGACCAGCGCTTCGACCAGGCCATCGACATGATCAAGTATGTCATCAAGCGCGGAGGCAACGTCAAGGAGCACTTGAACGTGAAGGTGAGGACACATCGCGGCGACAGGAGGCCGACCTCACAACATTTCCGGGCGAGGCATCGATCGCCGTGCAGGGAAACGCATCGCCTATTATTTCTGAGCTGAGACTGCCGCAGCGAGCTCGGACACCCGTGAGTGACCCGCCCTGACCCTCACAGGTCACTGCAGCGCCGCTGAGGCCCCAGGCGCTGTCGTCGCTCGGCCTCGCGCTGGCTGACGCCAAGGACATGTACGCCGAGCAGGCGCGGCTGCACAGCGCGGCGCTCTGCCTCAGCCCCAGCGCCGTCGGCTGCTCCGTGGACGCCGACGTGAGTAGAACGCGCCGCATCCGGGGGAGCCGGGATTGAACGGGAGCTGGGAGGGACGGGAGCAGGCAGAGCGGGGACCAGAGAGTGGGAGCGAGAGCGGGACTGAATACCAGGGCACCCGGATGATAGCATTATCCTGAATGGAGATCTCACTAGTTGCGAGATAGTTTGTAGCTACTAGATACTGGATAGTAAATTACAGCATAAGTCGGTGCCGTCGGGAGCGATACCTCCTGTACCTCACGTCTGACGCTACCGGCCGTGTTTCAGCTGGCGCACCAGTCGCAGGACGCCATCGAGTCCGAGGTGGAGCGTGTCAACGAGCTGGCCAGCAAGGCCAACCAGCTGGCGGCCATGTTCACCAGCACCGAGTACAGTCTCGCCGAGCACCTGTTCGACCAGCACCTGCTCTAGGGCGCCCCTGGCGGCGGAAGGACGAAGCTGTGTATCCGGCCGTCGACACCGGGCGGCGCTGTGACGGTCGGCGGCTGACAGCGGACGGCGGGCGGAACGCGGTGTTCTCTGTTTGGAAGTGTCTTTGTGCCGTGATCGCTATCGACTACTGATGTTGGTGAAATAATACACTCGGCCAACCCTGACCTGTGATATTAACTGACGACAGAATTTTGTTCTGGAAACGGAAAACCGACCGGCATTTCGAGGTTTTGGTGTTTGCCGTAAGGTCTCAACCGTGACGTCTATTATTGAGACTCTAGCTTGACTCAAATCGGGCTGTATCAGGTATATAGAGCTGAAAGCGAGACAGAAAAAGAAGTCCTGCTACTGGTAGTCCGTACTGCAGAGGAAGCGACATATTGCACACAACATATCATTGTCCGTCCTCCGTAAATTCCACAGGAAACGCCTCCGGAAATGCAGCGACCACTCTGGAGGAGAGTGTATGCCACGGGAGGAGGGGGTGCAGCGGCAGTTGCGGTGGGCACTTGCGCCGAATTGGTGATAGCAGTCACCCGTGACGGAGCGACTCAACCCAGCATCGTGCCTCCGTTCTCAGAACAAAACTAGGGACGGCGCAGAGGACCATTTCCAGTTTTTGATTTACAGTTGTTTTGGGACATTTTATCAAGCTAAACTCCCACTTATATCGACGTTTGTATTGAGTATTATAGCCGTTTAATATCACAAAGGAAAAATGTGACATCCTTCAAAAAGTCGATCTTGGTATTCGGTATTCACGCTTGTCAAGACTGTGTAGGAAATAAAAACGCACACCTACCGGACAAGGCGCTGAATTATCCATGTCATTCATTCGTGTTAATAACGTGACAAGCTATGAAACATGTCACTTCTGACACTTCTAACCTGCTCATCCCTGTATTTCTGCAATCCTGGCCTTAACTCAAGAAATGATGTGAAGGCATGAAACAAGTACTATGAATGAAAGACGTTACAAGTATATTCCTATTCAACTTCCGAAAATTACGCACACCATAAACATCCAGTAAGACCACGAGTTTCAAATAGGACAGAAAGCGGACCACCCGTGACAGAATACTGCTCATGTTCCTGTTTTTCACGGCCCCGCAGCCACCACTGCCCGCCGGCCGTGTAAGCCAGTGACGTTCTCAGTTGGGCACACCGGCGGTCCTGGCCGCCTTCAGGGCGTCCACGTACCAGGTCAGCTCGGTGACCAGCCGGGCGGCGTTGGTCTCGATGCGCTCGTTCTGCGGCTGTCCGTCGGCCGAGTAGCTCTGGGTGACGGTGGGCACGGTGAACTGGGCCGGGATGCTCACCAGGCCCAGCTCGCTCAGGTGGGGGCGCGCGAACGCCGCCGCACGCATACCGCCGAACGGACCTGGACAGGCGGGGAGGGAGAGTCAGGGGACAGCCAGACCATACCGCCGAACGGACCTGGACAGACGGGAGGGGGTCAGGTCAGGGTCTGCTGAATCATACCGCCGAAGCGATCTGGACAGGCGGAAGGGGCAGGGCAGAGGATTGCTGAAATATATCGCTAACGAACTTGGCCAGTAGGGAGATGACAGAGTACAGACTGTACCGGGAACGAAAGAATAAAAGGGGCTTGAGAAGCCATGATGTGCCACCAAACATTTCCGGTATGGGGTGTAACATCAACCTGGATAGTGCCATCATCATCCGTCAGACATGCTTATCGATCCGTATCATTGGATTCAGCGACACATCTGCATGTTCCAGTCTTTTAACGAGCACCTCTCGCAGTCCAACACCTTCTAAACTGGCACACGAGATCCGCCTATCTCGACCTCCCTGTGACAGTGGCAGCACTGTAGCCCGTCCAGCCTCTGCACCAGTGTCTGGCGGCGCCACTGGGGCCCGTCCAACCGACCTCTCCTGAACCACGGCGACACCTGGCGGCCGACCGAGGCGACCATCGAGCGAAACTTACCGAATAAACTTACCGAGCCAGCAGTAAACTCACAGAGCCAGCTGTGAAGTCACTGAGCCAGCAGTAAACTCACCGAACTAGCAGCGAACTCACCGAGCGAGTAGCAGGCGATGCCGACGGGCCGGTGTCGGAAGGAGGCCGGCGGGAAGTGGTCGAGCATGTTGACCAGCGCCGGCGGCAGCGAGCAGTTGTACTCGGGCGTCACCACCACGAACCCGTCGGCGGCCGCGATCTCGGCGTTGGCGTCTCGCAGCCACTGGGGGGCGGCCGACTGGTCCGGCATAAAGTGCAGCGGCTGCCGCAGCAGCTCGAACGGCATCTTCAGCGGGTCTGAGGCACAGCGCCGGACGTCACGGTCAGTGGGTCTCACATCAGGGTCAGCGGCGCAGCGGCGGATGTTAGAATCACTGCATTATTGTTTTCATCGTCCACGGTAGCGTGAACAGCTTATTTCATGGTCCAATGTGCCCAAGCACCAGCACATGGATTATGGAACCAAACCTGAGCAACTGTTTTCGATCACCGGAGAAAAGACAGCGACTTCTTGTTTTACGGCACTGTTCATTCATTCTATAAGTCACACATTGGAAAGCAATTCAGCCTCGGTGGCACGGATGCTCACCGAAGAGGTTGACGGAGTGGTTTTTCTCCTCGAGCAGCTTGATGAGGTGTTTGGCGACACGCTCTCCATTGCGCCCGTCACGGGTCGTACCCAGGAACATAATGATGCGCGACATGACTGTCGGAACTCACAGCCTGAAACACGGCCAGGCCCGGTCAGACGAACGGAGCGGTAGTGGGAGCAGTCAGAACGGGCTTAGACTACAATGGCAGGCTCACAGGTGACCAACCGAACGACAGAGGTCTTTTCATAGTTCCAGGGGAGGTTATGACAGGGACAGGACCCTATCTAGCATCAGGGCTAGTCATAGAAAGCCAGACTGTGGGTAAGATCGGCTGGGGAGGGAACACAAGGTAGGAGGGAATACAATAACGCCTGCAATGTGCAGGCGTGTGCTCTGCGGCGGCACCAAGACCGGTGCCGACCATCCAGCATGACTCAGCAGTTTTCGACGGAGGGCGACTGGCAGGGCGCCATGGCGGCACCCGTGCGTCCCAGAGAGCGGGGAGAGAGAACGATTAGCCGCGCACTGTGACAGCCCGACCCGCACAGCCGGCCAGCTCGGCTCATGGGACAGCACTCTGTGGGCTTCACACGGGAAACATGCCGCACGAATGGCTGTTTGAAACATGCTATGTTGCGTGCCATGAGCCATGAGGGTCAAGTAGTCCTCACACGCCCAGGGTGTTTCTATCTAAAGCCGTCGTTCGATGAAAAAAGAGCGACTTGTTAGAGAGCGGAGTTGTGTACACACAAGGCACTAAAGCTACATACATTTACACGTAAATTTATCAGCATTTTGGCCACAGACATCAACCATCAACCAAAATTTCAGCACCCACGTGCCGACCCGACGTGCTACCCCCAACCCTCTCCCCCGCTCAGACCTCACCTGTGTTTGTGACGACGGCGGCAGTGCTGACAGTCCCAGTCGCTCCCTCGCCGTCCTCTCGTCTTCTGGTCCGGCCCACACCTCCACGCGGGTAACGCTGCCGCCGCCGCCGACGGACGTCACTATTGATGTGAGCCGCCGGCCGCCGGCTAGACCCAAGGACGTCTGTAGAGCTGCAGGTTACGCGCCCCACAAACCCGCCGCGGCTCCCATGAGTCGAGTGGGAGCCCGGGCCCGACACTGGCCCAAACCACTGTCTCTGAACGTTCAGCGCGGGCAGGTTCATCACCTCAGGTGTGTTCTGCAGCGCAGCATCATGCTTCGCCTGGGTGAAAAGCTAGCGGCTCTAAGTTACAAGTCATCATGAGGGATGCAAGGTGACTCATCTCCTACTGGAAACGGTTGGTGACAGGCATGTGTTAGGCGATGCGGTATTGGGCGTCGTAAAGTAATCTTGGCTATCGCCACCGTGTTAACACATATGGTGCCGAGTCCATTCAATAGGACAAGGCCTGTCTATTGCTGGAGAACGCGGGCAGCCCGAGCCTGCAGCCGGACGCCTTCAACAAACAGTACTTTTTGCCGCCGACTGTGGTCTTTATCGACCGTGTCATGGGCGTCGCCAGGGTCGGTCGATAGCAAGGTCAGGGCATCGTCGGTACTCTGAATGCGCCGTAACAAACCATGGGACGACGGTCAACACTACTGCCGGCCCCAACTGCCGTCAACGACCACTTCGGAGTACCCAGCGTTTAGACCATGCCAGAGGAGGCTCGGGCCTCGGTGTATTTTAGCAAATGTTTGACTAACACAAAACTCAAATAAACATAGAACGGACGTCACCACTGCTCGAAATAGTCGTTGTTGGCCAGCCGGTGGTACACCCGGCCGCCACACGAGTCCCTCCACGGCTTCGGAGGGTACAGCATCGCCTTCTCCAGGCCCGGGATCGACGTCTTGACGGCGTTCAGCGTGATCGGCGAGGTGACGAAGAAGTCGGGGGTCCGGCGTGGCCCGCACAGGCCCAGCTTCTGACAGTCGTCCTCCGTGAGCTCGTTGATGAGCGTGTGATCCGGGGTGAAGCCGACCACGAGGCCGTCGTTGATGCACAGCAGAGGGTTCCTCGGCTCCGGGGGCGGGTACGGACAGGGGTCCACCATGCTCGCCGGCTTACGAAAGTTGGCGACGTAGTCACATTTTTGGTGATGTGAATTACGGGAGAAGTCTCGAGAAGCTGACTGAAAGCCCGGGTCGCCCGGCGACTCCAGGTAGGCGGATAAGTTTGTTCCAGTTGGAAGGCTGGCAGGAAACTGGCCCCCAACGTTGCCGCAGACAGGGGCGATGCTCGGAGGAAGTGGGGTGTACTTTGGCCGGAAGCGCAGCTGCATCGGGATGCACTGGCCGGCCTTGTCCCTCCCGGCCACGAAGTTCCGCTGGTTGTGGTGGTAGGACGGCGCACATCGTGTGTATGGAAGAGGCGAGACCGGTCCGCCGAAGCAGCTGATCTTTTGAGGACTGCTGGGAAAGCCCAGGGACCTCCGAAGCTCCTGCTGAAACAGCACTTGCCGGATAGTCCTGGCACGGCGCTGAGCCTGATACAGACACTGCTGCTCAGGCATCCTGTGTTCCGAGTCTTTCTCCGGCAATACGAGCAAAATATGAGTTTAAATTATGTTCATCGTCTGTAATGTAAAAGTCAGCATCTTAAAAACCTAGTGTAATTAAAATGCTTTCAAACTAAAAATAATGCAAAAAGAAGACTTTCTTTATATGATTTTGTCAATAAATTTGCAATTCCAGGTTCATGTCAAGGTTCATGTCTCAGTCACTTTTTGTCTGGAGTTGCTCGTGCATTCGTCCAAGTGATCTTTCTTACATACGGTGCCGAACAACAGGTCCGCTGAACAAAAGTGTATTGACCTCTTGGAGTTCTCTTGGAGATGTTTAACCATTGAACACGCAGAGAAGAATGACGACTTCTGAGTCATCCTACGTCACAACTAGGTATCGTAAATTAAACTGAAGTCTTTGTTGAATTACACCGAGCACAGCTTGGGCATAAGGGGGTTGAACTTAAACTTCAACTATTTCCTTCTTTCGCACCTCATCCACATCGTACCACACATCAGGATAAAACAGCGCGGCAAAATACAAACGTCTCAACATGAGCCATAGCCAGTGGGACGTTTGCAAGGGATGAACATTCGCATTCAATGCTTCCAAATACCATACGTTCTTTGCTACACTTGGCATTCAATAGACAAAACAATTCAAACAATAATCTCCAAAAAGGGTTTTGCGCTTCACATTGGAAAGACCACTAGACCACAGCTACACACATAGAAAGTAGCAGAATGTCACCATTATGCTGTTGGCACTTGGCTGTGCCACTTGCAGCAGGAATGACAGCCGACACCCACAAGGTGAGGCAGCGATCGACCAGTTCAGCCGCTCACAACAGTAGTCTGTACAACGCACCGCGCAAAACGCAACACGATCGAGATCAAAATCAGCACGAAACACCGCGTTCACTCATGTCCATGCACGATTCACCGCGCGACTTTGTTCGGCTCTGCCGCATTAATTCAAACCTGCAGCTCGACTCCGGTCCTCTCGGTGAGCTGGCGCGCTGCGGCTTCAAACTTGCAGCTCGACCCCGGTCTGCTCGCTGAACTGACGCGCCGCCTCGGCAGAGATGGCCGGGCAGTGCCGCGCGGTGACCGAGCGCAGTTTGGCGCAGCGGCGCAGCAGTGGCAGCACCTCGGCCGTCAGCGCGCGGCAGCCGCTGATGTCCAGCCGTTCCAGTGGCGGCGCGTCCGGCCCGGCGAGCGCCTCCAGGCCGGCGTCTGCGAGCCGCAGGCAGCCGCTCACGTCGAGCTCCGTCAGCTCTGGCAGGCGCTGCGCCAGCTCGCGGCAGCCGGCGTCGCTGACATCCGTGCCGGCCACGCTGAGCCGCCGCAGGCGCCGCAGCCGACTGCTGGCGTCCGTACAGCCGGGCCGGGCCTCCGACGGCGGCGACAGCAGCTCGCGCAGCCGCGCGTCCGTCAGGCCCTCGCAGTGCGCCAGGTCGAGCGTGTGCAGCAGCGCGCAGCAGGGAGTGCGCAGCGCGGCCACCGTGGCGAACGGCAGTCCCTGCAGGCGCAGGTGGCGCAGGTGGCCGAGCCGTCCGACCAGCCAGGCCAGCTGGTCGCCGCCCAGCTGCGCCCAGCTCAGCTCCAGCTCGGCCGGCTGACGGCGCATGATGAACACCAGCTCGTGCTCGCCGATGCGCCGGTGGGCGGCCGACAGCTGCTGCCACAGCCGGCGGTCCAGCGCCGCAGAGCTCCAGGCGCGGCAGACCAGTAGGCAGGCGGCCCGGTCGGCCGGCCCCAGCCGCTGGAACACGGCCACCAGCGCCTCCCTGTGCAGCGCCGGCTCGGCAGCTGCGGCCGGCTGCGGTGGCGACAGCGGCCGGACCGGGTACAGCGGCCGCCGCAGCTGGCGCCGGCTGCGCGCCTGCACGTACTCGCTGAGGTTGCGCAGTGTGGGGATGCGCGTGCCGCCGTCCTTCTCGGGGTGGACGAGCGCCGGCGCCGGCGGCTCGGCTGGCTCTGCCGGCCCGGCGGACACCTACAGCAGCGAGGGGGGCTGCTGGCACCACACCGAGACCCGGGCGACCGTCAGCGGCACCGCCCGGCGCAACGCGGCTCTGCACCGACACCGGCCGGCGCTCCGGGCCAGCGCGGAGGACCAGGCGACCGCGCCAACATACCGGACTCGGACCGGCAGCGTACAGAGCCGAGTTACGCCAGACGCTGGATATGCGGACACCAAAATATACTGACGCATCTTACCTAGGCATTACGCACGTTTTAAGCTCTGATTAAAATATGAATATTAACTAGCACGACTAAAAAGCATCAATTAAGATACTTTTTCTGACACGTACTTTGCTGTCGCATCAATGTCATTTGTCATAGATGTGATGTCATGTCATGTGATGTCATAGGTGTCATGATGACATAGCCATGACAATGTCATAGACATTGTCATGGCTAAAAACCGGGTGGCTTGATATACATCAATTAATTCTTAATCCCGGCATAACATGCCCAATCAAAACTGTAGTGTGAACGTTCTTGAAACGTCGTATAAGCAGCATTGCAAAAATGTTGTGCAATTACTTAATTTTGAACAATAAAGCCAGCTTCCTAAATTTGCAGCAATCATTCATCTCCATGAACATCATATACCTACTATACATATGTGAAAATGGTTTTTCATTTATACAGCTTAATTATGCACGGCGGTGTAGCCTCAGGACCCAAGCAAGAACGCAAAATGTTGGGTGACGATGAAACACCCCTTCGATCTGGCCTTGATTTAGCTCTGTCCTTGTTTATCTTTGGTATAATTCAGATGCTATTCACCTTACGCCTGTGCTGGCCATGCGTCCACCATGAATTCCAAGGAGCCAAGAGAAAGCCGCATAGATCGATGATGTAGCTGCACAAGAAAATAACTGTGGATGCTGATTTGGTGCTGATTTGTCTTGAGCCACTGCCATGAGTTACTGGTGTTTGACAACTGCTGCAGTGGCCGGCCCCAGTTCACTCTGACCCGTGTGTGGTGTATGACGTGTGGGTGTGTGGCTGTGCGCGCCCCCGTCGGACTGACCTGGCCGGGGTCGGGCGGCGGCGCGCCCTCGGGGCTGAGCTCGGGCCGCTGCCGCTCGTCCACGGAATCCAGAGAGAGCGGCGCCGTCAGCGGCTCCTGGGGCTCCAGGGTGGGCGGCGCCGGCGAGTCGGCGCCCGAGGCGCGCTCTGCCCCCTCCGCCGTCTGGGGGACAGGTATGTACAGGACAGTCAGAGGAGAGACAGTGGTCAGAGGTCACGGAGTCGGCGCCCGATGCGCGCTCCGCCGCCTCCGCCGTCTGGGGAACAGGCACAAAGCAGTCAGAGGTGAGAGGTCACAGAGCCGGCCCCCAAGGCGCGCTCCGCCACCTTTTCCGTCTGGGCCAGGCGGAGATGACACGTCATAGTTCAGAGTCGGCCTTCAGCCTCCACCGTGTGGGCTAGAGCAGCACACAACTCGACAGTCTCCAGAGAAAACTGAGAGTGAAAACACTTCCACTACACTGCCTGGAATTATGAAAAAGATTGGCACATGCTTGGAATCATAACAAAATCACTTGCACGTACATTAAATCATGCATCTACATTTATGAAATATTGGTATATTTTGGCAGAATATCTTCTTTGATACATGTTTCATTGTAGACCAAGGAGTTGTGAGCTTTAGCAAGCTTTCGGTTGGTTCTTTCTATAGTGCGAATCAGTTTTTTGGTACCAGACGGAAGACCCAAACAGCCCCCAAACAGCACATGAACCAAGAACACCACACAACACTCACCAGAAAACATCTCACAGAAAACACAGACATCATCAAAACAGAACACAACAAATATAGACTCTTCATTGCTGAAGCCTTACTCATTAGACAGCACACACCAACACTCAACAAACAGGTCAACTCATGTGTCACACTAGGCCTGTGGCGCTAATCCGGACGTCAAGAACGATGTGTCCGTGTGATTAGCCTTGTATGTGACTATTCTAGTCACCCGTACTTTGCGCGATTTCCTTCTTAGGTGATAGGTATTTTTGTGTATATGTCTAAAAGAAGTGGTCTTACCCCTATTCACGAGACATTTTGTCATGTATTATGTAAAACAACTGCATCTGGTACTGTGTTTTTCGATTCGTGAACGACTTGTTTGATAATGGTTTAGAGACAATAAACCGAAACGTCACTTATTTTTAACGATTTTAACGATTGTGTGACTCATTAATGAGCAATTTTGGACAACTAATATTTGGTCTTCCGTCTGGTACCAAAAAACTGATTCGCACTATAGAAAGAACCAACCGAAAGCTTGCTAAAGCTCACAACTCCTTGGTCTACAATGAAACATGTATCAACTTTATGAAATACTATATTCTTCGTCCCCTTAGCCGGCCCAACAGCCGGCCCCTCCCTCTCTCTCTCTCCTCTCCTGCTCTGAGCTGCGCCTCTCACGGGGATCGCCCCCACCAGGCCTGCCTCACCTCTCTTATCCTCTGACCTGCGCCTCTCCGGGGATGAGCCCTCACCAGGCCCCTCTCCCCTTTCCTCCCCTCTCTCACCTGCGCCTCCGCCGGGGAGGCCGGCTGCGGCTCCTCCTTCTTGGGCTCTGCCTTGACGGCCGGCAGGGTGTTCTCGGCGCCAGGCGGCACCCAGAGACGCTCCTGCGCCGAGACCACCTGCGAGGCCGGGACGCCCACCGGCTCGTCCGAGCGCGCCTTCTTCGGTCGGCCCGGCGGACGGCCCGGCTTGCGTTTGACGCCGGGCGGCAGCAGCGCCGGCGGCAGCACGGGCGGCGCCTCCTCCAGGCCCATGTCGACACACTCTGGGCACGTCCAGCAGTTGGGCAGCGCCGACAGCACGCGGCCCTCCGTCTCCGTGTTCAGCTGGGGGCGGCCGGGGAGGGTAAAGGATGAGACAGGAGCAGCTATTACTGCAGTACTGTGACGGATACATCACATCAAAAACACATGACACAGCAGCTATCAGTACGAACGACACAGCCCCTCGTCTATCGTCCTCCTCCAACCTCCACCATTAACCGCCCACCGTCTCAGCTCTCTATCATCCGCCCCTACATGTCCAGTCTGTCTTAAAAGTACCTCGCAAAGTGACGGTGGATCCAGCGAGCCTGACTGAGGAAGGGCCTGCTAAATTTGGGTCACCGAAGCAATTGACATCCTCGTCCATTCCCTTGGTCAATTGGTCGGTAATTTTCAAATTAAAGCAGGCCCTTTCTCGGTCAGGCTTGATGGATCCACCGTCACTTTGCGCGGTACTTTTAAGACAGACTATCCAGCTATCCACCCACCTGGCGGGTGGTGCAGGCGATGTGCGCGATTCGGAAGCAGCTCCTGCACTCGTACAGTGTGCTCTTCTGTTCGGGACGGTTACGTTTTCCGGCCACGGGGGAGAGTGGTCGACCCCAGCCGGTGAGGGAGCAGTAGCAGCACACCGCAGTCACCGGCAGCTGCGGCTGTGGGCGGTATATCGGGGTCAGGTGACGGCTCGACAGGTCGCATACACAAACGACATGTCACAGCACGATACCACAGACGACAGCAATCGCGTGTAACAACCCATAACTCGGTGAATTAAATGTGTGTCGGCTGGTCATCAGAATATGTCGTTCCTCGTCAGCTAGCTGCGTGACGGGCCCTGGCTAAAGAATTTCTAACAACAGCTAGGAGCCACCTGCCCCTGCTCTAATTCAATATTGCCACCGTAGCCGGTGGCCCAACGTACCTTTTGACAGACGCGCCGCTTGCAAGACTGTTTGATGATGCCCGGTCCTCCAAACTTGGGCATATCTCTGCAGCAGGCGCACTCCCGGCACTCATCCCGGGTGCATCCCTCGCACTCTTTACCTGAAGAGCAGAGGATCGGGAAGGTTAGCCTTGAGACTCCCGAATGGCCCGGCAGCGAAGCGCAAGGTCTCAGGAGAAAGGACGAAACTTGAACTATAAGAAATAGTGCACGAAAAAAAAACTTACCAAGTCTAAGCATACCATTATCGAAAATGTCCTTTACTCGAAAACACAAAGCTGTTCTTAAAAGTGTGCCCAACTCGTAATAATGTGAACGGTTTTCAATCGTAACTAACATCAACATACATCACTAAGTTATCATACACAGCGACAAATCAGCAATGCAGACACAATCGACGACCTCGCCACATAGCTGTCGAACTCCGTCCCATCACTGAACAGACATCACCCAGAGGCGCCCATGACTCACAGCGCACACGGCGGCGCCGGTCTCCCTTCTTGGTCTTCAGCAGAGGCTTCTTGGTGATGGGTGTGCCGCGCGGCCCTCGGGGACCCTTCTTGGGCGAGGCGTCCGGGTCAAACTCCTCCTCGGCCGTCTTCACGTAGCCCTGCAGCATCAGCCGCAGCTCCTGGGCGGAGAAGGGAGGGCGAGGTCAGCCAGGATGGTCTACTGAACGCAGGCGGCCGATATCAGTGTGATCGGCGCTGGCAGAAAGCAGCCTACACTTGCAAAAATATAATGAGGTCACTCTGAATAGAAAAGCTGTGTAAATGCTCAAAAGCCTAGAGCACAAAACAGCATTGTCATACAATCGAATAAAAATGCAGGTACGCATTACGTGAATTCCAAGCATCCGTAAAACGACTTAGTCTCGACTCCCATTCAGGCCTAATCGTGGCCGCCGAAGAGCGCCCTACACTAATCAGACCTGAGCGGGGCTCGACAGAGTGCTTACCTAACTGAAGTGCCCTCAGCGGTGCTGGGCTCTCGTTACAGGGAAAAAAAAGCTCCTATAATTTATCCGACGCGATGTTTCTAAACACACCGCTGGCGCCACCTAGCACGCATACAAAAACACTGATCCCGCTGCTTGCCGACGAAATCCTACACCCTAGCTGCCCCTGTAAGTTTTCATAAATGTTTAACCACTGTCCACTACCCATATACTGTAATGCATTCAGAGGCCTGTGCACCACCAGAAGAGTCTATGACTGCCACTCCCCCATATGAGTCCAGTCCAGACTCCTCCATATGCCCAGAGCCGCGGTCTTCCCCGCACTCCCCGGGCACTCCTGTGTACCCCGCCGCCCCTTACCTGTCCGTTGTCGGGCCACTGCAGCGCCGGCCGGCCGGTGACGGCCAGTTTCGGACAGTCGAACCGGTGCTGTTCCACCAGCTGACGCACGTCGCCGATCAGACCGATGGGGTCGCGGATCAGCTCGGGCACGCACTTACGGGACGCCGGCTGACTGTGCAGGTACAGCACGATCGCCTGGGGACAGAGAACGTCCGGGGGAGGTTAGGGAAGGCCGAGGATTAGCGGAGTCAGTTACACCGGAGGTGGGTATTTTGGCGAGGTAGTGATGCAGGCAAAGTAGTAAGTGTTCACACACTTAGGGACCGAGACGATGACGAAGACTGAAACACCAAAAGATAGCAATGTAGCCAAAAAGCACAATGGATAAATGTTATACTGTGCTGAAGTCCCGCGGCCCAGCCCGTGCCCACGCTCACTCTCAGCCCTCCCTCTCCTTCCCTGACCTTGAGTCCGTGCAGCTCGAAGGGCGTCAGGTGGACGTGCGGCGGTGCCGGTTTATGCGGCGACGGCGCCGGCTCGGCCAGCTCGTCCAGGCCCAGTACCAGGTGAGAGCGGCCCAGCAGACAGTGCACGTACCGCTCCAGCACGTACCAGAGCATCTCCGTGAAGAACGGGTACCGGTACTTCTGCTGCACCTGAGAGCGCAGAGCGGACGACAGCCCGTTAGCGTCGTGACACGACGGTCACCGCGGAAATGAGTGACGAGCGGAAAGCAGCTGACGGTCTAGCGTCTGTGTGCCATGGGTTCGGCAGCAAACATTACGTAAAAAGCAGCAACAAGCGCAAAGCCGAATGATCTTTTGAAGTCAACAGTGAACAGGTAGACTAGCAAGCCAACAATTGTTGCCGGACAAAGATAGGTGTCCAAGTACGAGTGCATACACCAATTAACGGCCAGATATTCTGATGGTCCTTACCAATACCTACAAAACACAAGAAGTCGCGTAAAATATGCTCCCGCACAACCTGGCAACTTTCATCCCGTCACAACAAATCGTTTGAAGCATGCATGCAGGTCGACAAAGGAATTTCAAATCGGGTCTATAAGCCCTCTCCACACTAGTCAAATCTCTTCTACTTCACGATCGAAACAAAAAATATCGGCAGCCGGGAGCTTTCAAAGCTCCGCAGAGCAGAGCACAAAAGCAAACACAAACTAAATGGAAAACAAACCCGCGCCGGGCATCGCGAGCACTTACCCTAGTCGCGTCCTCCACTCTGGCGATCTTGAGTTGTTTTTCCACGGCGAAACTGTGCAGGAAGTTTCCGCCGAACACCAGAGAGTCGGCCGGCGTATAGACGGCATGAATCCAGCCTGTGGCCGGCCGGGGAGCGCGGAGGTGACCAGGTCAGTGGACGTCTCACGGGACACGGAAATGGACGCGCACCGCGCCGCGGGTATACTGGCACTTTTGACACTTAACTGGTGCTTTCGGGGATCGATTTCATCGACATTTCAGAAAAGAGAAACAGTGGTTGATAGTGTGAGGTTGATAGATTTAGTTGGTCAGAGTGTGAAGTAAGATAACAAACTCCATCGAAGGAACAGCTGTTGCTCGGTAAATTCCCATTGTCTCATTTGTTAAAGCATGTAGTAATCGAGACCCACATCAAAAGCATAACAGTTTTCCTACTGTATAACCGTCCCTGTTTTCCTCCTGCAGCTGGTGAGCCGCACCAGTCCTTCCTCCCTGCCTTTTCCTCCAGCACCCCTCCAATAAACACGACTCACAACCCCACGCGGACCGCTTTCCCTCTGACGCCATCCGCCAGCACCTCTCCCCAGCTCCGTCCGTTCCCATCACCTCCAGCACCGGTTGCTCCCTCACCGGTGGGGATGAAGAAGGTGTCCCCCGGCCTCAGCTCGATCCTGCCGCACCGCTCCACCGTGTCGCCGAAGAAGACGTCGCCCTGCTTGCCGGAGAGCACCCAGTCCTCGTACAGCTGCACGTTCTGGTCCGTCGGCGGGATCAGCCAGAAAATCTGCCGACGGACGTCAGGGCACAGTGTGAGATACGAGATACGCATCATCCATGGACACACACATTTTTTTAAGCACATTTAATCCGCAACAAAGTTTTACAGGAAGACGAATGCTGAAGCAAAGCTGACAAATACATACGGCAATACTATGAAACCTTAGAGATTAACTATAACCCAGCAATCGTTTCACGGACCTTGCCGCCCTTGAGGACGTGGTACCACACGGATGTGCCGCCGAAGTCGATGTGGAAGTCGGTGTAGCAGCCGTTGACGGACATGAGGCAGTACTTTTGCACCTTGGGGTACATCATGTCGTCCAGCACGTTGGTGGACTCGGTCTGCAGCTCCTTGAGGTGGCGCGGCCACACGCGGTCCACCCAGTCAATCTGCCTCACCTGCGAACAGACGGCGACGGAGAAACGTACTGGATGAGCCGAGAGGGCATTCCTGCCCTGCATACCTATCTAATTAAAATGAAATTAAACATGTGCTAACGTCAGACTGAATGCAATTATTGATCAACATCTAGCAGTACTTCAATTATTGGGACCGCGTAAAGCCAGGCAAAAAAAAAAAAAAAAAAAACAGCGAAAAATATAGAACAGCATGAATCATGGCCGTGCCTTTTCAAATCACTCTCAGTCCTGTGACCATATTAAGCACCTGGGTCGGACTGATCCGGTTTCAGGTTGCAATATATGCCAATTTATGGGCTCCATCGAACCATGAACAGACGGACGGACGGAGCGGGAGGGGTAGTGGCCGGGGCAGTGTAAGAGACGCGGCGCCGGGCCGGCCGGCGGCAGTCGCTCGGCAGCGGCACAAGTCAGCCGCTCACTGGGGCGTGCACAGCGCGCACCACTGGCCACTCACAAGTTACGGCCGCCGGAGGAGAGCTTTCCGATAACCGGGCCTTATTTAGTGCCCAGTGCCGCTCCTAACGTCACCGGAACGCCGCCCGTAATCTGGAGAGACCCGGGGCTTCGCCGAAAACCGGCCGTGAGCCACTACAAACTGCGCGAGGGCGGGGACGGCGGCCGACCCGGCGCTCTGAGAGCGGGGCGGCGGGCGACCGGATGGCGCCGCGCGGCGAGAAATGTGACGCCCAGAGCCATCCACAGTCACAATACGTCACGGAGCGACGGTAAGGTACCGTTCGGAGTCGTCCGAACGTCACAATAGGTCAAATGGCGCTGGAAACATATCACCCAGCGTCATCCAGACGTCATAGTCCGTCACGGGATGTCGGTAACACACAAAACCAACTAATATAAGCGCAATAAAATACTGACAGCAGCCGTTATAGAGGCGGGCGGCAGACTCCGAGGCGTCAGTAACGGCGTCGTTAGGGGCGCCGTGCGTTTTAAGCGATCGGGACTACGTACCACGGTAGGCGCTTCGACCAGTCTGTCGAGCTTGGTGTGACTGAACTCGAGGCTGATGACGTTCAGCAGACGATCCTTGTCGGGGTTCTCAAAGTACTGCTGCCACTCCTTCATCGTCATCTCCATGTTCTTCTGGGTACGCACGTCCATGACGTCCAGCATCCGGCGAGAGCCTGGCGGATATGGGGAGCGCGTATCAGACACGTCCGTGGGGACACTGGATCGACGGCGTGAGGCATGTAGTGTCACGGGGATCATCCATTGTTCGCGGTCAGGCGAAAAGTGTACCGAGGCGGGCCTCGAAAAGATGTAGACAGGTGAAGAAATAAAAATGAAAATAATAGGTAGCAAAAGCAATGCGTCGTGTGCTTATGAGTAAACATACAGGCATTGCAAATACCAACCACTGACCAACGCCCCCCCCCCCACTGATGGTCAGGCGGGCGTACCCCCCCCCCCCCCCACCCACCCCCCAATACCCCCTCACTGACTGACAGCTAGGCGGACGCCCCCTCCCTCCACTAACCACCAGGCGCCGACGGCCAGGCGGACGTCCCCTCCACCTAGTGACCGAAATCCCCGCCCCAAAGGACACTAACCGACGGCCAGGCGGACGTCCGACCGAAATCCCCGCCCCAAAGGACACTAACCGACGGCCAGGCGGACGTCGTTGATGGTGAAGGTGGACGGCGGCACGTTGATGCCCAGACCCTCGGTGGAGTGGAACACCAGCGGCGTGGAGAAGCCGTTCGCCTGCACCCAGGCCAGGTCAAACTCTGAAACGGCAGGCCATAGAATTAAAGGGGCTGGAAACGGCGGAGCCGCTCGACGACAGTGAGGCACCCTGAAATGGCATTTACAGTTAGCAATGGCAAACGCTGCTAAAAACCGAAAAAAGTAATTATGTTGAGAGAAAGGTAGGCAAGGTAGTCAGTGCCGTTAGTGCAAACTACAAACTGTATTTTTACACAGAACAGCAGGCTGATTTCCGCCAACACATCGCCGGAAGACATTCAATTTCAGACGGCAATTCGATTCTGCATAATGACCCGTCCGATTTAAATAATGATGCTGAACGAATCCTAGTCTTCAATATCCAGTGCGGCAAAAACACAATCCCAGGCCAAACAACTAAGGCACAGCTTAAAAGGGTAGCAGCACAATACCCCGAGTCAGACGAATATGCCCTGCTCGAATATGGCCTTTGTCGAGCTGCACGTAAAGCAAGTTAGGTACCGGCAGTAAATGTAAATTGTAAATAGACTGCATCAACACCAGAGTTACACAAGATTTATTACAGCTACATTCGGAGTTTTGTGTAAATTCCATGGTCTACTACCAGCAGAAAAATATAAAGTCTGGGTATGCCATTTTGATTCCTTATTTATTTTTATTTTCAATTTCGAATACGATTACAATGCCCCGATACTCCAATTAATGAATAATAGCAATATTATTCTTTAAAAAAACACTATTTCATCTACAATTTGAAAAGTGTCTTGTATTCTATATGTAAATAGATACAGACAGGTAGCTGCCGCTGGTAACTGGTAAGTAGGTACTATTTTTCTTGACCAAAACAATGACAGACCATCAAGGAAAACAGGAATACCGATTAACCGACGGATAGTCACACTTATTCCTACAAGGAACAATTGAATAATAACTCACCTTCGCCTTTCATTTCTTTGACAAAGCATTGTGGAAAATTGTCGCTGACCATTTTCTCGTCAATATCGAATAGCCGATGTCCCTCCAGCTCCTCTTCAGCCAAATTCCAGTCATCGGTGTAGATCTTACGATCCTTCTCACGCTGAAAGCACACAACGAGTAATCAGGCATTCAAAGTAACTGTTGACAAGTCGAGAAAATGCTTAACCCTCGCTGACACCAAGTTGACACCTTCATCGATAAGACATCTGCTCGACATGTTACTCCAGCATAGTCCCTTCGCAGCCGGATCAGTTGTTTGTTGTTTGTTGGGTTCTGGGCGCCCTGACACTGGGGTATTATGCGCCCAGGCAGTGGGATTATGTGCGCGTCTCCAACGAGTTACGCAGGTATGTCTGGGCTCACCACGGCCGGCGGAAGACCGTCCACCGTGAAATGCCGCATCAGAATCGGACTGCTTGGACGCGACCTGATTGATGATGGCTATTTAACAGACTTTTACCCATTTTACGGTACAAAGAACTCCAAAACTGCTCTGAAAAATGACACCAATATTTTTCGACATCATTTTAGAAAATGAAGGGAAAATATTGGATACTAGGCAAATAAAATTTGTCAGAATTTTTAGTGAGCACAGCACAACACTATTAGAAATAAGATAAGGATTTACCCATATGACCATTAAGTTGTACAATATCCTGTTTATTGCACATAAATGATACACCATTTACCATTACATGGTGCATGCTAGGTGCAGCAGCTGCATAAATCAATAGAAATGAAAGTGTGGGGTAATTACTTATTGTCCCTAGTTGATTCTACAAAACATGCTCATTTCTAGGGTGTATGTTTGATAAATAATGTGAAATGGAAACACTGAATAATGGTTCACCTGGAATTGTTTATGTTACAACTGTAAGGCACAAACTTCTATGATGTTCTTTTGATTATTGGCTTTATTTGGTGCATTTTTCTGTATACGTAGGGAACACAGAGTTAATGAGTTGATTTCTCCTGGATAGGACATACCTACTTAATGCATGCCAGTGTGAATTGCTTCTCCCCATGATGCAGGCCTGAACACATTTTCCCTCAGATAGGGTGGCTTAGTATCTATGCTGAGTGCTGACATGCTTTGCAGGTTGCAGTTCAGTCCCTAGCTCTCTGGTTGCTACAGGTTCCACTTCATAGCTTCAATGAACATGAAGTAAAAAAGAAAGCTTTGCAATTAAAAAGCTGAACTGGGTGGGTGCCAGAGTGTGAAGTATATGAGAGATGCAGGCTGCACTAGTTGCTAAAAAACATCAACACCAATCAGCACCAACCACCATATATTATATGATAGAGCCTGCACAAAATGAGGTCTTAAATTGCACCAACAAATTTAGAGGCATTCATTTAGGGGATGAAATGGTAAGGAAAAAGAAGTATTGCCCATAAATGGAAAGGTAAATGGACAAAATCAATGCAAGTTTTTTCCCATGTGTGCTTTCCTCTTAGTATTTGTTATTGACATTCTTCCTCAAATGTGCCATCATCTAAAATTAAAGACAGAATCATTAGCTGCTACATGCTTGGTCTGCATCTCATAAAAGATCCACACTTTGCCACAGATATCATCATGGAGCAAAAGCCCTGCACTAACAGGATCACTCTAACATTGTCATAGGTTGCAATCTGGGATGATAACCTCAAAAAGCTGATTCAGCCTATCAGCAGACTGTCCCAACACATGAGACAATGCCTATGTTTGTCAGGATATCAGGAAAAATGATTCATAGATATAGATATCATTCATAGCTATCACTTCACACAGTGATATCTATATGAAGTGTCAGGAAAAATGATTCACTTCAAGACAAAATATACAGATATCACTTGTTGCACTTTATCATATAAAGGTGAGCAATCAGAAGAATTTGTTATAAGACTCTGAAAAGAGCTGTACGTACTGCAGGTGTTTCGGGACCACAAATACACCAGCCTAGCCCCAACTCAGCCAGCTCGGATGACCTTGATGCCTGGGTAAATGTGAAGATGAAGTACAGTGAAAACAAAAAACATAATCTAACCTGACCTATCCTTGCCTAACCTAATCTTTCAACCCACAAACCTACAACCTACCAGCCCACCATTTGTACTTCATCTACACATATACCAATGACTGATCCCACTTCAACTTTATTGTGGCCTCAACACCAAATTGGCATTCTGGGTGGTAGATTTGCAGTGCGCCAACACCCACAGCTTTTTACTATTCTTCATCTGACTGACTTAATAGCTCAATCTGAGGCACTTTAATCATGTGTTTGCCTGATCTAGATTGAGATGCCTTATTTTGTTACTTATCTTCAGCTTGAGCTGTTTACTCACCTTGTGTATAGATAGGTAATAATGTAATGAGGTATAGATAGGTACCGTAAAACGGGGTGTTAAGGGACAGTTTTGAGGTGTTTTGTTATATAACTCAAGAAGGGTTGGGGATAGAAGCATCAAATTGTCAGCATTTTATGTGGAATTTGGTGCTTTACATGCCTGCTACATAAAAGTTTTAAAACTATATACATGCATGTTATTTTTTATTATTTTTCATCACTGTCCCTTAGCACCCCAATGTGGGGTGTTAAGGGACACCTATATTATTCCAAGAAATGGTCATCAAATGCCCACAATTGGGGTGTCAAAGGGCACACAATTTATTTTTTGATATGTTTTGCATATTCTGTCACAAAACAAGTCAGGTTCATTCACCACTAATGGCCTTTTTAGCCAATTACATGTAATGCAGTTTATGCTTCTGGAAAATGTGCTAATTATAAGGTAAACAGAACCAAAAAGTACCCTTCTGTCATCAACAAACACCCATTTTGAAGCTAGTCACTTGCCATTTTGTTGCCCTCTTTGTATTGGCCTTTTTATGATGACATCACATTTACCTACATCAGTCTTCATTGACCCGTCATTATAAAAGAGTGTGTCAAGGGAGTTTTGAGGTGTTTTGTTATATAACCTAAGATGTGTTAGAGATAAAAGCATGAATTTGCCAGCATTTTATCATTTATGTGGAATTTGGTGTTTTCCATGCCTACTGAAAGAAAACTTTATGAAATTATATTTAGATATTATTTTTATTTTTTCTTCCCTGTCCCTTAGCACCCCACATCCACCTCAAAATATGCATGTGTCCGGAAAAGAGGAAGATGATGATGAATGAATGGGCGGATTTGTATACGTTTTTTTCAGGAAACGCGTAATACATGTGACAATACACCTACGCATTCATTTTCCCTGTACACCTACTAGTTTATGTGGTACACACAGAGTTTTGGAGATTTTGTGAAATTTTGTGAAAATGTAGCATGATTTTAAAAACCATTTTTGAACCAAATTACTTGCATGAAAAACCATGCCATTTTTTCCTTTAGTCAAGAACAAAACAGTGTCAACTACCACTCTCAAGTTTTTATTTAGCTTTCTCAAATTCAATTATTGAATTAGGAACTTAACATGCCTCAAAGTTTTTCCCACACAACTGTCCCTTATCACCCCACTGTCCCTTAACACCCCATTTTACAGTAATAAGGTATGCTGCATATTCATATATTATATCCTTGATGGCCCTATATTACCACTGTGCTGATGTAAAGCATATATATGTAATGACTTACCGTTTTAATTCTCCTCATCTTCCTGCTCTTCTTCGGAGAGTTATCGCTGTCTTCCCCAGAATTAGAATCCCCGGTCATGACCTAAGTCAGTATCTTGCTTGCAGTTAGAAACAAATGGAGTTGTAAATGAAAAATATCAACTATGACTTATACCATCCACAGTGAAGGAGATCAGAATAAATGTGAAAAATACCGTGAACTTCCAGGCAAACTGAAACCACAACACAGAGGCGGCCGCCCTGCGGCATATGTCGACGTATAATGCGCAGAAGTTACAGAAAGGGAGAGACATGACAGCTAATTATTATTCTCTTATATCCTACACTGTGTTTTATGCGATGGAGGGTATTCATAATTTGTTTTCAGCAAGCGCCAAGTATTGTAATTTCGTCTTCTGTATTTCCAAAGAAGATATGGCTAGAAGTAGTGAAATGCTTGACAAATGCAAATTATTTTAACATCGTCGTGAGAAGTCGAGTAGATTTTTCCGGAAGGTATCGACTATCGGTACCTATTGCTCGCCTCAGGCACATGGAGCCGGAGCGGCTAGCGAGAAACAGTCTCTCTCCACCCCACTGGCCACAGGGAGCATGCCAATTAACCCATTCATCTCCCTCGTTCCTGTTATGTTTCCGGTATTGTCGATGGGTATCCTTATCACCCTTAGGTATTAATTCATTCGCTCATTCATTCATAGGTATTCCGTGTCTCAACATGGGCTGGGCAATGGGCATCTTCACTGGAACTGGCTACCGGCACACAACATACCTATTTGTAAGACATCTTCAGGATCAAATAAGCTGACTGACGCCACACGACCACACCACGTCCCATTGCTCTGGCGGGGTCATGCCCGATGACCCCGCCATTCGATGTGACCCGATGGTCATTCCCATCCGTAGCGCAAGGGGCGACCAGGCGGGCGGGCCAGAGGCGCCATAGCTTTCCATGCCATTAGCGCCGTTAATACGACCGGCAGCCGGAGCCGGTCCGTTAGTCGGGAGCAGCGGCCGGTTGAAATGCGCGTCAGAGTCCATCCGGAGTCCAGTGCCCGCCGACAGTGGACTCAATCCGAGTCCGACGTCCGGCGAGTGAGCATTATGCAGAGATGCGCATCTCGGACACTGGTGGACAGTGGATGATATGACATGAGAGACTGCCTGATCGGATAAAATTGCATTTTCACCCAGTTCATTGGCTCATCTCCGGAACAATTAACATCATTGGGCTGAGCACAACGATATACATAGGTATACCTACATAGTATTGGTTAAAACTATTACCTTACGTTCTCCATAACAGGCTAGCTACAAAAAGAATGCACATAATTCAGGTATCTTGTCATTCACGTGAATAATTTGTATGGACTTGCTGAGCTCATCCGTATAAATCCAGAATTATCGAGATATGATTTATGGGAGCATTGATCCGATCCGCCTTTTGCCTAGCTCTCAACAGGGCTGCGGGATCGGAGTCGTAGTCGGAGTCGTTCGGAGTCGACAGTCTGGCTGGAGTTGGAGTCGGAGTCCGAGTCGGTCTGAGTTGAGAGTCCTGACAGGAGTCGGAGTCGGAGTTGGTGTCGATATTGGAAGCTGGAGCAGGAGTCGGGGGTACCGAAAATCCATCGATTCCGCAGACTTACCGGGGCTGCGGAGTCGAAATCGGAGTCGGAGTCGGAGTCTGAGTCAATTTTGGGAGCCTGAGTCGGGATTGGAATCGGAGTCGGAGTCACCGAAAATCCACCGACTTCGCAGCCCTGGCTCCAAATACCTCTTGGCTTTCACCGACTGCGCCTCCTCCCTCCGTTACCCACAGATCTCAGAAACCGTGCTTCTTGACGGGCTTGCAAAATGTTTCCAGGACGACATGACACGAAATAGATATACGAAAGCTCTAATGCCAATGATAGCCAATGCCATGAACGTATGTATTTGGCGGCAGTCCGGCGGCACAGGAGCCGGCGCGGTGAGCTGCGTCAAGGCCTTGCGGCACAGCATGCGCCAGGCGGTACTGCTCTGCGGCACAGCATGAATCAGGCGTACGATGGCAGAGTCATCTATCGGCTAGGCCATAAGCTCACAGATGAAGCGATGTTTTACCTGAATGAAATAATGATTTTTTTTCCAGCGTTTTCTATGACAAATGATAGATGTGCTTAGAACGAAGTAAGCGATAAGTGATACAACATTATATTGCAGTAGGTACCTAGGTACCTACTTGACAAATTCTTCCGTATTTCCAGAATGACAAGAAACAACATAACTACCTACGACTGGTGGGAATCAACATTCATAGGCGGCGGAACGGGGAGGGCACCGGGGCACCGTGCCCCCCTTTGATTTTGGCATTTTAACATTAGCCCTATGGGCGTTGCATGGAAAGAATGGGACCAAAAGTCGGCAGTGCCCCCCCCCCCCCTTAATTGAGGGTGTTCCGCCGCTACTGTCAACATTTGAGCGGCATATCCATTGAGGTAGCCAGCGGAAAGAGACAGCAAAGACAAATATAAAAACCATAACTGCTCGCTAATATCTTCCAATTCTACCACCATATATAAATAAAAGTCAGCTATTTCTTCACGCCTTTCAGGCCGGACAATAGCCCGGGTCCGGTGATGTTTCCCATTTGACCGGGTGCGCGCCGCGCGCACCTGGACGGTGCTGACCCGTCGCGCCGTTCGACTCCCCGATCACGGTGCCGGTCCCGGCGGCAATCTGTCTGTGTCCGGCCGGCCCGCAGGCCGACAATGGGCCCCGTGCGCCGATAACGACCGCCAGTCGCCGCCATTGACATGGCTCCCTTTCCGACCGGTGATAAAAGCTGCCGTTCGAGGCCCTTTCTATGGACCGAGCAACAGCTAGAGGTATTTCAAATAACGGCCCGCTCCGGCTCTGCAGTCAGGCTGGCCAGCTCCAAATGAACCCCGTCCTCACTAAACCGATAGTAAAGAGGCCAGATTAAGCGCACGCGGCGATGGGGGACGTGAGTGGACTGCAGCGGGCGCCGGCGGGACACCGCCGGACTGCGGCGGCCGCGCTCCGAGGACGCTGCATGGGTCGTTGGACGAGTTCGGCACGCCGTTACCAGATATGGGCATAGTGCAATAGCCAATGGTCGTATCGAGACAGAGGGGTGCAGAAACTGCAGAATGACCTGCAAGCCAGGTCAGTTACATCATGATCTCCGACTAAACAGCGTGCAATTTTTGTTGAAGCGAAGATGTTCAGGGCATTGCATTCCTGCAGTTCCAACGATCTTTTATACGTATATAAATTCAGTGTGGATGTTCTGAGTGTTCTGAATGTTAATTACATTGTTCTTGGTCTATCACCAGATATGAAAATTTATGGTATGAGACAGATTTCAGTAGGACGTTAAACATGTCTAACAAAAGGCTGAATACATCCCAGTTAACGAGCACGTTTCTTATATGTAACACACATATGCATACGATCTGTACAATTGTGCAGATAATGCAAAGGTTAACACCAGTTGCATCGCGTTTTCCATCGACTCCTAGCCCAATTATTTCCACTGAGCGTCTGGTGCTCTGCCGATTGAATACAAAACGGATGATGAGGGCCCCCGAAAAAGAATGTTGGGTTCATTGCCAGGCCAGATAGGCATTACAGGATTCATGAAATGGCCGTTGTGCAGATATGTCAATTTTAGTAATTCAGGTGTTACTTACCAAGTCGTGGGTGAACTATTTTATTCCATCATCTCCGCACCCCAGGTTACAGACGTCCGCTGAAAAATTTACACCACATTGCTCCGCCATAAAACGAAGAGCTTTTGGATTTTCTGAGACTGCTTTTATGATTCGCTTCATAATTTATACCACCAAAAGCAATTATAGCATTTTATGATAGCACTCTAGACTCATATCCGTTTCCGAATGACTACTCTCGGTGATTGAAACATTCATTTCGAACAAAAATATTAAATTGGAACAGTCGAAAATCGTCATGTATTTAAGCAATCAGATATAATGATAATGGAAAGAGTGTCGAAATATCTGGCTGAAATTTAAAAATAAATTATTTAGGTACGCTTCAAACGATTGCTACAAAATCTGAGCAAGTTTGTTGAGTTCGGCACAAGAATACCAAAGAAAATCTCTTTTTTTTACTAATACAAGGATGTTACCGTATTCAGTCTTGGCTAAAAGTAAAAAAGAATTAAAAGAAAAAATGATTTCTGTTAGTTACCAACGCTGACGCCTGCCTTTCATATGGTGCTCTTCTGATGTCTACACTCTACCTAGTTACAAGACGCATCAGAAAGTCTTCAAACTATTTCTGTAATGCATAATTTGAACCAGAACTGTTTGATAAGAACTTCGTCCCAACTGCATCCAGCAAGCTCACTTGGAAATCCTGGGATCAAGGTAGAGCGCTCCATTTAATAGCTTAATTCACTTTATGGTGATTTAATCTGTTCAGGCGAGACGTGTCGGGCGCGGCAGCGGGGCCGGAGGGTCGTTTGGGCCGGCCAGTGGCCTCTCTCTCGGTGGGAGAGGTGCTGCTGAGGCGGACTGCGCAGCGGGGCTGATGGTTCACTGGCCGGTGAGCGCAGCACTCACCTCAGAGCTGGACTGTCGGACGTGGGCATATCACAAGAGACGTGTATAATTTGATGAGCTGATTCATTCATTTAGTATAAGTATGTAATTGAAACACAGCTAAAATGCGAGAGATAAGATGTGGTGCACGAGATTGCAAGGTCAGAAATCACACATAACCCGAGGAGATTTAGAACGTTTCACTGTTCTTCATCAGTTCTATTTCTGATTAAGAAGCATGCGGTGATCCAGCAATCCTGTGGAAATGCCTATCAAATACAAATTACAATGTAAAGTGTTATAGTATTGCACCACATAGTATACGATTGTCACCATTATCAAGCTACAAAGGCATAGCGACTCTGCCAAAGAAGCTTCGGATGATGCATTAGCTGTGCTCATTGATTGTCGACGATTTGCCGTCATCTCCATTGACTATCGTGGCTGGACAAGAGGTGAGTTCCCCTTTTCCGCCTCGCCGCTAACCAGCAGACTACGTATGTGGAAGGAGAGCCCAGTCACGGAGGTGGCGACGGTGAATGGTCAGAATGCTGAGCACAGCGCAGCGGTTCAGCCTCGCGACAACAGAATGGACGGCGCGGATACTGCTGACTGCAGCTCCGGCCGGCAGGGGCGGAGCGGGCTGCAGCGCTGATTTGGTCACTGGGCCTGCTAGGCCAGGCTGCCCGCTGAGCC